CCCCAATAGGCCCTTCCAGGGAAGCCCCCTGCGGGCCCCCAAGACACTTCGCCCGTAAGTGACGATCATATCAAAAATAGACGGACGGCAATGTTTGCCGGATTCGGTAGATTTTGCCGGAGGGTTCGGCTTGACCGGATCCGATTGTTTGTTGGGCTGTGATGCGGTTGTTTGTTAGATTATTTGTTAGACTATTTGCAAGGTTGCCAAAAGTCGAGTTTCAAGCAAACTTGATCAAAACTTGATTTACAGGCTCTTGAAAAGCAAGTTGCAAGCAAAATGTGATCACAACTTGCTCGTTGGATGTGTCCGAAGTCAAATTTGAGTCAAAACTTGATCAAAACTTGATTTTGTCAAGTTGGGGGAATCGCATGGATTAGGTTATCTTGGGCCGAAGGATTCGACATAATATTCGGTCGAATCAATATGTTTGACAAGAACTGCCGGATCCGACAATATTTGCCGTTCGGCTATTTTCTGTCTGATGGCGTAAGGGCGGTAAATCGTATTTCCCAGACAGTTTTCCGGGAACATGATTCCTTGGGCTTCCGCCCACCGTCCCAACCATGTTTCCAATTCTAGGCTTGGCGACAAGGCCAAAAGGCGCCCCTCGGTAAGCCCCCAGAGGTCCCCCTCTTAGAGAGCCGAACAAATCATTATCCCAGAAAGCTTCCCGGGAACATGATTCTCTATCTCGGAGTAGGCCCAGGGGGGGTGGGGCGGGCCGCTGCCTGTTCCCCCCACTGGTACCGACCGGGCGTTGCGGGGGGGGGGGTCCAGAGCTCCCGAGGCAGCCCGAGCCCGCCCCAAAGCAGGCCACGACAGGCTAAGGGGGTCCCGAGAGGGCCCAAGACGGTCCCACGAGGCCCCGAAGACGCCTAAGATGCCCTCAAGACAGCCGACGAGGACTCCAACACGCTCCAGGACGGACTCAAGAGGCTCCTCAAGAGGGCCCTGGGAGGCAAGATTCACTCGTTTTCCGAGTGTTTTGGATTTTGGCGTTCTCGTTTTTCCCGCTTTCCAGCGCTCCCTCACGGCCTCGTAGGCCCTTCAGATCGCTCCAAGAGGGCCCACGAGACCCCGAAGAGGGCCCCAAGACGGCCCAGGATGCTCCCCAGACAACCCAAGTGTGCCCCAAGAGCGCGCCAAGAGAAGGCCCAGAGGGGTCCCGAGGCGGCCCGGGCCCGCCCCGAAGCAGGCCACGACAGGCGAATGGAGGTCCCGAGAGGGCCCTAGACGGTCCCACGAGGCCCCGAAGACGCCCAAGCTGCTGCCCTCAAGACAGCCGACGAGGACTCGACCACGCTCCAGAACGGACTCAAGAGGCTCCCCAAGAGGGCCCTGGGATGCAAGATTCACTAATTTTCCTATGGTTTTTGAAGGATTTAGGCGTTCTCGTTTTCCCCGCTTCCCAGCGCTCCCTCACGGCCTCGCTCGGAGGCCCTTCAGATCATTCCAAGACGGGCCACGAGGCCCCGGTTCCCCGAGGCCCCCAAGGGGCCCCCAGGGAACGCCCAAGAGACCCCCCAACACACCCCAACAAACCATGTCCCCAGAAAGCCTTCCGGGGACATGGTTCATCATGAGCCCGCGAGTCTCCAGAGGCTTCGAAGTACCATCATGCTACAGGAGAGCTGCCTGGGAACCCCCTCCTTCTCCTGCGGTCTCCCCGGGGGTGCGCGGGAGCGCCCCCACGCGGACGCCGCCCCACAGGCCCACCTCCACGCCCATAGCAGGACCGCCCCACTCCCACAGGGGGGGGGGAACGGGTCGTCGACGGCACCCAGCGCGCCCGGTACGAAAGCCCCCAGGGATCCCTGCAGGAGAGGAGGGGGGCTTCTGGGCTGTCAGCCGCACCCGGTGCGGCCAGTACGAAAGCCACCGGGAGGGGGGGGGGTCTTCCGAGGCCTCCTGAGAAGCCGCCCCTGTCTTCGGAGAAGCCTCCGAACAATTCTATACAATTCTAGGCCCGAGGCTTTCCGAGCCTTCTGAGGAGACCCGCCCCCTCTGCATTCCCCCCTTGGGCTCGCCGCCGAGAGAGAGAGAGAGAGAGAAGGGTACCACAGCGTTCATGTGCGCAGTCTCCCTGACACCCAACCTGCCCCGCACAGCTTCCTGCAGTCTGGCCGGCCCCGCAGACTTGTCGGGAGGGAGCCATTGCCTGGAAAACGTGGGACTGAGGTATACCCGGCAGGGGATGGGACAGGAGAACGACGAGGACGATCAGTCCACGACGGAAAGCGAAAAAGCAACTAGGTCCCCCAGCGATCCCTTCTCTTCCTCCTCCTTCTCCTCCTCCTCCTCCTCCTCCTCGGGTGCACGGGTGCACGGGTGCACGCATCGTTCCGCATGTCCACTCAGCAAGCGGAAAGGGACAACAAGTTGCGGAAACCTAGAGGCAAAAGGGCCGCCTAAGGAGAAGAAGGAAGGCCGAGAGGAGCGAGGACAAGAGGGAAGGATAGTATTAGGCGACCCCGATATCTAGGCCCCTGTGGCTGCGGCCTAAGCGCCAGCCTCACGGCCTGTGGTCAAGGGAGCGGGAAAGGAAGAGAGGGGGGGCTGCCCGGCCCCGTACCCCCGTCGCGAGGGGGTCCCCTTGTTGCACACCAGAGCCCCTTTTGGTAGGGGAGGGGCCCCGGGGGTTAGCCGAGGTGATCCTTCCCCAGCGTCAGGGTCAGTCGTGCCACAGGTCGCCCCCCCGGGGCGGTCAGCCCGGCCAGCGGGGAGAGAGGGGACGGAGAGGAGAGACCACATGCCGCTCAGCAAGAGGGGGGGGCGAGCCATCAGGGCACGTCACCCCCAAACCCCTTACCCCCCAGGCGGGGAGCTCCTGCCTGGAGGGAGGGGTGGAAGCAGGTGCTTCCGAAGTCCCCAGAAGCCTCGATGAGCTCTCTCACCGAGAGCGCGGCTGGGCTCCGGCCAACTCGCGGCTGGCCCTCGCCAGCGCGCGGCTGGTCCCCAGCACCGCGCGTGTCCGCCATGGGCTGTCCCCTTTCCTGTGTCCCCCACCCTTCCCACCCCTTGAAGCAGAGCCCAGGCTGTGGCATCACCTGGCTTCTGCTGGCTGTGGGAGAAGGGGAAAGGGATGGGCGAGCAAGCGAAGTACGGCGAGCGCGACTTGTGTTTCCCCATGGCTCTCACGGCCGAGAGGGGGAGGGCTGGGCGGCTGGAGACTGGCAGGCGCGGTGGGAAGACTGGACCCCAAGCTATGGATGGAGAGAGGCGCTGTCCGCGACAAAGTGGCTGACATGTCGTTCAGCCGCTCTGTCGCGGAGTTGCCGACCAACGGCGCATGGGCTGCCGCGTGCGCTGGTCTCTCCACCAGCCACGTTGTCAGCGGGGTGTCGAAGCAATCCTCCACCTCCCTCCCCCCCTCTACCCTCCCATCGAGAACACCGCAAGCTACAACGGAAACAAGCCTGCTTCTGCATTCTGCTGAAGGGCAGGAGGGGGAGGCGCGCTCGAGGCGCTCCAGAGACCCTCAACAGCTGGAGAAAGTCAGAGGGCCCCAACATCTTGCATAATACTCGAAACGGGCTCTACCGCTCCGCTGTTTAGGGCAGCGAGGCTGATGGCTGACCGTGCTGAGAGGTCGCGCAAGGGAGGCACCGAATCTCCTCCCCATGGCAGCACGACGCCTCTCTGTATACCCCCCTTGAATTCCCACCCTGCCCCCGCCAGTAGCTTCTGCTGTTGCCTGCCCAAGCCTAGAGCATGCTGAAGTGAGAGGGGGCGACCAGGGGAGTGCTACTACAAATTCATGCCTCTGACTGACTCGCAAAGGCCCGCAGCATGCTCAACCTTCTCCCACACATCGCTCAGCATGGCACGGGCACCCTGGTTGTCCAACTGAGGGAAGCGCTGCTTGAATTCCTGCCAGACTTGGTCCATTGCCTGCGCCTTGTCAGGCGTCTCGGACGCAGCCTTGCAGATGAAGGCAGTGAGGTTGGAGCTGAAACTCTGGAAGTCGATCGGCTCGATGGGGCCCTCCTGCTGGACCTCAGCCTCCTCGCCGAGGACGGAGGGCCCCTCTCCCAAGTACTCCTCGGGACTGGTGCTGGGCATGGAGTTGTCGTCATCGGCCCTATCAAGGTACTCCACACGAGAATTCTGGACCGACCGGTCCAATGTCTCCAAGGCAGGACTCGAAACTTCGGCGCAAATGGCCCTGAAAACTTTGAAGCCGTGCATGTTGGAGCCATCGTCCATGCCTTTGCCATTGCCAATCAAGCGCGGCGCTGCGAGCGCACCCTGCTCCAGCGGGGTCGCGCTCTGCACGCTCTAAAGCTGCGCCAACTCTGCGCGGAGAGCCCTCAACGCTCCTAGCGAGATGGCTCATACTGGGTTCCACTGCGAATCCGTCGGGCCTCCTTTGTCCGTATTCTCGGTGGCTGCTCTCATGATCTGGCCGCTCGGAACCGAAGTGTTGCCACCAGTGATCACGTTGCCGGCTGTGCTGCTCGAGAAGTTTGTGCCATCTGCGTCCCCATGTTCTTGACTGCCTTGGAACGGAATTTGCATCAGTTCGCGGGACGAAAAGGCAAGCTCAGCTTCCACTGTCGTGGGCATTTCGTCGATGTACGGCGCCGTCAAGTGCCTGGCAACTTCATTCGCAAGGTCTAAGTTGGTGAGCTGCTTAGAGAGCTTCTTGCTCAATGGCTTGCTCTGCCTCACAATCATCATGCCTTGGCACACAGTCGTGCAGTGCTGACCTTCTGCACGAGAGAAAGTCGCAAGAGCCTGCCGCGAGAAGTGAGCGAGCTGCGAGACTACACCTGGAGACTGCATAGTTCCAGAAACCGTTGGGGCTGACGTACAGCACGCGTAAGAAGATCACGGGCTGGACTAGAGAGCTTTGAGGCCAAATGGCTACGGACCTCCTCCTCCTCCTCCTCCTCCTCCTCCTCCTCCTCCCGGCTCCTTGCTCCTCGTCCTTCTCATTATCCCCCCCCTCTCTTTGCCCTCTCCTGCCCTTCTCCCCATTCATCCTTCGCCCGGAGGCCACGAGACCTCCTCCTCCCCGGAGAGCTCGTTCGAAGAGCGTATGGCCGTCCAGAGCCGCGCCAGGGCCCACCAGGACCAGACCCGCACCAAGGCCACGCCAGGGACCCATCGAGGAGGGAGGAGGAGGAGGAGGGAGACGCGTCGAGGTGCCCTCCTCCTCCTCCTCCTCCTCCTCCTCCCTCCTCCTCCTCCCCCTCCTCCTCCTCCTCCTCCTGCGGGAGTTCCCCGGAGGTCGAATAAGAGAAGGAGGAGGAGGAGGAGGAGGAGGAGGAGGAGGAGGAGGAGTTTTCAAAAAAGCGGCTCGTGGGAAGGCAACGCCATAGACGACGCCGACGGCGGCGGCGGCGACGACGGCGACGAGGACGAGGACACAGCGCTCTCGAGCAGGCGCGGTGCACTTCGACCGTGTTTCTGGCTTGCCTCTGCAGAACCCACCTTCTGTGTTGTTTTCCAACAGGAGCCCTCAACAGTGCTTTCCAAAGGATTTCTGTGATGTTTTCCCATGGAGTCCCTTTGTGGTGCTCTCCACGGGGTCACAGGTGTGATGATTTCCCATCGGAACCTTCAGTCGTATCCTCCAAGGGATTTCTGATGTTACGCTTTCCAGTCGGATCCCTTCGCACCCTTTTCAAAAGGATTCCTGTTGGGACGCTACCCAAGAGGAACCCCGAGTCGTGCTTTCCAAAAGATTTCAGATGTGAAGCGTTTCATTCGAATTTTTGTTTCTGCTTTCCATGTCGCATTTTCCAATCAAATCCTTTTGGCGCGTTTTCCAAATAATTCCGTCTGGGACGCTTTCTTAACTGATCACTATGGAGTGCTCTCCGTGTGAGCCTTTCCAATCGAATATTTCTGTGATGCTTTCCAGCGGATTCCCGTTGTGATGCTTTCCGATAGGAACCCTCAGTAGGGCTTTCCAGCGGATTCTTGTTGTGATGCTTTCCAACAGAGTCTCTTCGTGGCATTTTTCAAAGGACTCCGATTGTGAGGCTTTCCCATGGGAGCCCTCAGTAGTGCTCTCCACAGGACTCCGATTGTGAAGCTTTCCAGTCGAATCCATTTGGAGCGCTTTCCATGTGAGGCTTTTCGATATAATCCGGTTGGTGCGTTTTCCAACGGATTCCTGTTTGGAGAGTTTTCCGATCTAATTTATTTCGTGCCTTTCCATGCGAGGCTTTCCGCTATACTTTCTCTGTACTGCTGTCCAATAAGAACCCTCAGTCGCGTTTTCCAGAAGGGGTCCTGTTGTGATGTTTTCCGCTGGCAAAGGACTCCTGTTGTGATGCTTTCCACTAGGAGCCTCCAGTAGTGCTTCCCAAAGGATTCCGAGTGTGAAGCTTTCTAATATAATACTGTGGGAGCGTTTTCAATGTAGAGCTTTCCTATATAATGCCTTTGCTGCGTTTTCCAAGAAGGTTCCTGCTGTGACGCTTTCCTATCGAATCCTTTCGGATTGCTTTCCGTGTGAGGCTTTCCTATAGAATCCATTTCGTGGTGCTTTCCAAAGGGGTACCGTTGTGATACTTCAATGGGAACCCTCAGTCGTGCTTTCCAGAGCATTATTGTTGTGATGGTTTCCGCTAAGATCATTTCTGGTTTCGTGTTCCGGCGGGTTCTTTTTTATGAAGCCTTCCAGAAGGACCCCCCAGTAGTGCTGTTCATCAAGTAGACCGGTCATCCTGTCACCCAGTCGCCCGAGCAGAAAAGGGGAGGGATAGCCAGAAGCAGGATGATGACGGCGTTGTCGAGGATGATGGTCGAGGAAGAGGAGAAGTAGGAGAGGAGGACGTGAGGAGGAGGAGGAGGAGGAGGACAAGGAGGAGGAGGAGGAGGAGAGGAGGTGAGGAGGAGAAGGAGGAAAATAATGAAACATAACCTATTCGTGTGGCGTCGCATGGTTCGGTGCTGTTTGGGCCGACGTCCGTAAAGCCATGGGCCTTCTCGGAGGCACCTGAGGCACATGCTGGACTCTCTTGAGGCTCAGATATTGGATGCCTAACGTGCGCAATCACGTAATCGTGTTCTCAATGTATTTGTTGCATGTCAGAGGCCCGTCGTGGAGCCATCTTGAAGCATGGAGTGGCCCCTTGAAGCCACTTGCGGGACGTCGTGGGCCACCCAACAGCCAAAAAGTAGAGGGGTCGGTCTTCTGAAGAGATGTACCCGCAGCGGAATGAGCTTGAGGGCACCTCATTACGTGCTTAAAGTACGGCGGATTTCCCTGCGCTGCTAGACGGAGGGTGCGAGACCACCAACGGCACAATGTGGGCGCTTGTGCAAGTGGGAGCGTTTGTTGAGGAATGCGCTCGGGAGGCTTCAGACCCTGGAGGGTTCATTATCTGACGATGACGGCGGTGAGTCATGGCCAGGCCTCAATCGGAATTCCAGCGACTTCCAGACACTGCATTCATTATCCAAGGGTTCCTTATTCAATAAGGGCTCCCTCGAGGGCGCGAAGTTATTCGCGCTTCGCGCTTCGCGGTCCTCGTTCCTTCTCCCCCCTCCTCCTCGTCTTCCTCTTCTCCCCCTTGGGGGGGCGGCGCGAGGGCGCGAAGTTATTCGCGCTTCGCGCAGCGCGAAGCGCGAAGTTGGGAGCCCTTGCATTATCCAAGGGTTCCTTATTCAATGCCCTCACCGTATCAGCATGGCAGCATCTCTGGAAGGCCTTTTTTTCTCCAGGCCCGCCCCCGTCCCCGAACCAACAAAGAAAGCCACCCGCCATGTCAGCCTTATCGTCACCCGCATCCTCGCTCTCGCCTCCACCGATCCTGCCTCCCTCTACTTCGCTGCCATCCTCATCCGCACTGGGAACACCGACGACACGCTCATCCTCGTCTTCTCCGCCCATCCCCATCATCACTCATCATTACCTAAGCTCCTACGCTAGACATTGCATATGGAGTCCTCATCCTTAACTGCGCTCACCGTTTTCACTCTTCACCGTCATCACGTCAGCCTCGTCCTCGCTCTCCGTGGACCCCAGTCCGTCCCTGGCGCCCCCGGAAAGCTTCCGCTTGCGGGGTTGGAATTTGGGCGGCTATCAGCATACCCTGAAAACTTGTTCTCTCCAGACGGGGCTGGAACGATGATGCATCCGTCTAAGAGCGTTCCAGAACGCTCCAGGAGGCCGCGGCGCCCGAGACACCCTCCAGAGCCCCAGGATCTTAGGGATTCTCGATGTGTCCTCGCCCGATGTTATCCTCCTGGCTTCGTCTTGCGCTGGGCTGGGGCTCGGGGGGCCTCTCGTGGCCGTGGTTTTGGTCTCTGGGCCGGGCCCTCTGGGGCTCGAGCGTGGCCCTTGCTGAGTTGCCGTGGCGCTGGGGCGGATCCACTTCCGCTTGGCCGCGGGGGCGGCCGCAGTGCCGAGCCATTCCTTCTGGACTGGACTCAGCCGATCTCAATCTCAGTCTCTCCCTCCTCCTCCTCCTCCTCCTCCTCCTGCTCCTCCTCCTCCTGCTCCTTCCTCTTTCCTCCTTCCTCTTTCCTCCTGCCTTCTTCATCCTTCTTCCTTCCTCTCTCCTCCTCCTCCTCCTGCTCCTCCTTCTCCTCCTCCTCCTCCTCCTCCTCCTCCTCTTCCGCCTCCTCCTGATTCTCCTCCTCCTCCTCCTCCTCCTCCTCCTTCTCTCTCCTTCGTTTCCCCCCTCGCTGGCGTGCCCCCCCACCCCGCCCCCGCGCCCCCGTCGTCGTGGCCTACTCGCTGCGCTCACCCCGTCCTTGCCTCCTCCGCCCGCCCAGGCGACCTGCCTCGGCCGCATGCGGGGCTTCCTCTGGAGCGAGGCGAGCGCGATGAAGGAGGCGGCAGAGGAGCTGGGGGTGCTCCAAGAGAGGAGGAGGAGGAGCAAGAGGAGGAGGAGGAGGTTGAGGAGGAGGAGGAGGAGGAGGAGCAAGAGGAGGAGGAGGAGAAAGAGAAGGAGGGGGAGGCAGAACGCCACGGTCGCTGACTCAGGTATGTATAGACAAATCAGAAATGAAAGGAAGGAGGAGACGGAGGAGGAGGAGGAGGAGGAGGAGGAGGAGGAGGAGGAGGAAGAGGGGGACGAGGAGGAGGAGGAGGAGAAGGATCCAGAGGAAGAGGAGGAGAAATAGGAGGAGGATAAGGAGGGGGAGGAGAAGAACTATGATGATGATGTTCATGATGATGATGACGATGGTGATGATGATGATGCTGATGCTGTTGCTGATGCTGATGCTGATGATTATGCTGATGCTGAGGATGATGATGATGCTGATGATGATGATGCTGGTGATGATGATGATGATGCAGCTGATGCTGATGATGATGCTGATGCTGATGCTGATGCTGATGATGATGCTGATGCTGCTGATGATGATGATGGTGGTGATGATGATGATGGTGACGATGATGATGATGATGCTGATGATGATGATGATGACGATGATGATGATGATGCTGATGATGATGACGATGATGACGACGATGATGACGAGGATGATGATGATGATGATGATGATGATGATGATGATGATGATGATGATGATGATGATGATGATGATGATGATGATGGTGGTGGTGGTGGTGGTGGTGGTGCTGGTTGTGGTGATGGTGGTGGTGGTGATGGTAGTGGTGGTGGTCGTGGTGGTGGTGGTGGTGGTGGCGGTAGTGGTGGTGGTGGCGGTGGTGGCAAGAGGAGGAGGAGGAGGAGGAGGAGGAGGGTGGAGTAGGAGGAGAAGGAGGAGGAGAAGGATGAGGGGGAGGAGCACCGCCACAGTCGCTGACTCAGGCATGGACGATTCAGAAAGGTGGAGGAGGAGAAGGAGGATAAGAAGAAGAAGGATGAGGAAGAGGGGGGGAGGAGGAGGGGGAGGATGAGGAGGAGGAGGAGGAGGAGGAGGAGGGCGAGATGCGGAGGAGAAGGAGGAGCAGGAGGAGGAGGATGAAGAGGATGAGGAGGAGAGGGGGGATGGATGATGATGATGAATGATGATGATGATGATGATGATGATGATGATGATGATGATGTTGATGAGATGATGTGATGATGATGACTGATGATGATGATGATGATGACGAATGATGATGATGATGGTGATGATGTTGATTGTGATGCTGATGATGCTGATGATGATACTGATGATGACGATGATGATGATGATGATGATGATGATGATGATGATGATGAGATGATGATGATGATGATGATGATATGATGATGACGAGGAGGAGGAGAGGAGGAGGAGGAGGAGGATGAGAAAGAGGAGGGGGAGAAGGGTGAGGAGGAGGAAGGAGGAGGAGAGGAGGAGGAGGGTGGAGAGGAGAGGAGGAGGAGGGAGAGGAGGAGGGGGAGGGGGAGGAGGAGGAGGAGGAGGAGGAGGAGGAGGAGGAGGAGGAGGGTCAGGGGAGGAGGAGGAGGAATACTGGGAGGAGGAGGAGGAGGAGGAGGAGGAGGAGAGGAGGAGGAGGAGGACGAGGAGGAGGAGGAGGGAGGAGGAGGGTGGAGGAGGAGGAGGAGGAGGAGGAGGAGGAGGAGGAGAGGAGGAGGGGGGGAAGGAGGAGGAGGAGGAGGAGAGGAGGAGGAGGGGACAAGGCGGAGGAGGAGGAGAACGAGGAGGAGGATGAGGAGGAGGAGACCGAGAAGGAAGAGGAGCCGGAGGATGAGCAGGATGAGGAGGGGAGGAGGAGGAGGCGGAGGAGGAATGTGATGATGAAGAGGAGGTGGAGGAGGAGGAGGAGGAGGAGGAAGAGGAGGATGAGGAGGAGGACCACGAGGAGGGGGAGGAGGAGGGGCAGGAGGAGGAGTTTGGGGGACGATGATGATGATGATGATGATGATGATGATGATGATGATGATGATGATGATGATGATGATGATGATATTGATGATGCTGATGCTGATTATGCTGCTGATGCTGATGATGCTGATGCTGATGCTGATGATGATGCTGATGCTGATGCTGATGATGATGCTGATCATGATGATGATGATGACGATTATGATGCTGATGATGATGATGCTGATGATGATGATGATGCTGATGATGATGATGCTGATGATGATGCTGATGCTGGTGCTGGTGATTGTGATGATGCTGATGATGATGCTGATGACGCTGATGATGATGGTGCTACTGCAGTTGCTGCTGCTGCTGCTGCTGATGCTAAGTATGACGATGCTGTTGCTGATGTGGATGATGATGATGATGATGATGATACTGCTGATGATGATTATTATGATGATGATGATGACCATGATGATGCTGATGATGATG